ATATATATATATATATATATATATATATATATATATATATATATATATATATAGTGTGTGTGTGTGTGTAGGGGTGTGCGTGTGTATATACATATAGGTATATGTACCACATAAATACCTACATTAAATTACACGTTTTAGTCAATATGCGGTTATTTATCAAAATGACGTAATCTGCTCAGGACAAAAAGCTTGACCTGACAACGCATTTGGGTTCACGCAGGCTATAAATATTTAGCACGTTTCTCCTCATTCGTCGCCAGTTTCTGTCTCCGCATGCATCTTTAACCCCTTCGCTGCCACACTGGCGCATGTGAAGAGATCCCGCATTACGTCATAGGCTACCAGAGGCTGCCTTGTTCTGTTCTGCTCAGCTCAGCCGGGGAGCGCTGCTGCACGAACATTCACACAACAACGCAAGCTTTGCGGGAGAGCGGCCGCTTCGTGCCGTGATGCAGCACCCCTCGCCAAAGAAGCCGTGATCGCATCGCAGGACGCGACGGATTCCACGGGTGGACAGCAGTTAGGGTGCAGGACATGCCTGGGAATACATTCTGGTAAGTCTTAAAGTGCGCTGCTGCTGCAGCTGCTGCTGCTGCTGAAGGCTGGCAGGCTGTAGATCGAGCAGCTTAACCTTAACCTACTTTGTTAGTGTGGGGGAAATTAGTTTTTTCAAGTTTGACCAATAAAATTGTTCTTTTCTAGGTTGGTAATGATTATGTGTCATTTTTGTAACAGTTTCAAGACAAAACAGCTTGCTGTGTTGCAGAAACAGGTGATGCTTGAGTAGATCATGTTCTTTGAGGTGCCTGTTGCCTTTCCCCTTGTCCAAGTACATGCATTGATTAGATAGATATTAGCTATATTTTTACAAAACCATACAAAACAGGCCTCAGTCTTTTCACAGGAATGATTTCCCTGATTGAAATGCAAATGAACATGTATCATATCACATAGTTGGGCAGGATTACACTTGTTTAACCATACTGCTTTTTATTCTAACAAATAACTCTCTAGGAGGCTAAATCCCAACCCCAGCAGCCGTAAATTTTATGTAGGTCCCAAAGTTTTTGCCCTTTTACAATTGAAACCATAGTGATGAGGAGACGGCACCTCTACCTCGGTTCTATCTCTGCCTGGTACCCAGCCGACAAGTAAACCTATCTTTGGTCACCAACCTTTTGGTCTAACACTAAAGCAAAAGAGATATTTAATCTTAACTCCCTACTGAAGCTTTTTTATTCCTGTCAAGGGATGGGATTTGGATGCTTTACAGTCTCATGATGTAAAAATAACTCTTCTCACTCAGTGGTAACAGCTGCCATGTAGGGTCAGGAGTCAGACAGACTGGACTGTAACTTTAGTAAGTGTTTGTGCTCAAAGGCCATATATCAGAGTTTTTTTTTTTTTAAAGGTCTCCTTTCTTTGTTCTGACAATTTTGGTACTGATTTCAATTTTTAAATCAATAATACGTTTTGCAAAAAAAGCATTAAACCAAAAAGTAGGCGCACCTTAGTTGAGATTGCGGCTAAAAGTATCATAAGAATGATGTTATATTTGTATAACCAATCAAACAATATAGCAAAGCCTCCAGGATAAGATTCAGCGCATCATCTGATGATTTAGGTGCCAGTTATCCAGTGAGGATGAGTAACATATATCTCTGTATCTTGAGACTTAACAAACTAGCTCCATATGAATGGATGTAGAAACAATTTCAGGAGACCCCAGTCTGTTTGTAATTCCCAAAAAAGACCAATGAGTTCAGCTAATTGCTGTTTGTAATTCAAATGCCTAAATTTGAGCCATGTTAAAGTGGACATTGTAATTTATGCTCAAATTCAGTGACCTGGCATTAGCCACTTTGATACTGTGTACAATTCTAATTAACCAACACTATCTATCTGGAAAGCCTCCTGTAAAAAGTAGCAAAAAGGGAGGGACATTCAGAATAATTCTTCAAGCTGATTTGGTACCTGCATCTCATGTTGATATTTTTAGCCAATCATAGCAGCAGTAGCAGCTTCATTTGTTTCAGAGCTGGCAGAGTTCACTGATAAATCAAACTCTTACCTAATCCAGACAGGAGGAAAATGCAAGCATGTTCCCATGGTTTTATATATGTAAATCATGCAAGCTTTGTAGAAGTCTCACCTTCTCCCACACCGGCGGTCATTGATGTACTTCTGTGCATACAACTGCTTTGCAGAAATATCCTTATTAACACTTTATTCTGAGGACACAATTTTTAATTCCAGTAAAACTCTGTAATTCTGTCTTTAGATAGATGTTGTTAGGCCATTCAATGTCACTCAGGTAGTGCTAAAGTAAGTTAAAACACTCATGTTGCATCTTGAGTGTCATGTTTAGTCCTTCATGTGGACAAAAAGATGTTCCTGTAGCTAATTATTGGTAGAAAATAAAGTATTATCTTATTAATAAACTCTCTGCTCTTAAAGAACATTAAAGGCTTCAGTTATCTCACAGGCCCCATGTGGTCTGGCTGTTTACTCCCTGCTCCCGCTATCTGTCCTAGCCCGTCCTCATCCATCAGCTACTCTTTTAGATTTCAGGTGTTTAATAATCCAGAGGCAAAATGCTGTTTCAACAGAGACACTACTTGCGATCTCTACCTTTGCTCACCTCCAAGCAGCTCACCCATGTTTCCTCCACAGAATTAGTCTAAATCTAAAACACTAGCTATGTTCTTTTTCGTTGACGCCACTAAACAGCCACAAATCTGAAATAGGTCACCAATCTGTGATGCGTCAACAGCCATAAAGAATGAAAAGCTTCAGGAGAGTCCATGACTCTATTAATTCATGATCTATATAGGGTGATGCCTTCTGTTTCAGAAGGCATGATTCAAAAAAACATTATTTGATTTAGAAAAGATGGTTTTGAATTTTTTTATTTTCTTTAAAAAAAACAGATTTGGTTTATTTATGTTTAAGATTTCCTACATATTTCTGAAGTCGAAGGGAATCGGCCGTTCCAACCGTTGCATTTCCGAATTCTCCAGAGTGGTGCACGACTTTGCACGAGTGAATAAAGTGAATGTGATTGGTTGTTTGTCAAGGGGGCGGGATTGTTGTGGCGAAAGGTTTGCAAGCAAGTTTGGTGCTAGTAGGTTCCCAATGGGAAGTTACATTGGGACCAAGTGGCACTTAGAAACGACACTGTCAAGGAACACTATGAACAGAGGAAACATGCAAGAGGGGGAGAGTTTTGTGTCGGAGGTCATGGATGAGTCTCCTCCGTCATACATGTTTTAATTAGAGGAGGAAAGCGGGAAGTTGTTGTGGAAGAGGATGCCAGGGCGGCAGAAGCTTGGTTTGTTGTAGAAGGCTTACAGCCGTACATGTTTCAGCCCTTGCCTCGCAACGCTGCCAGTTCTGTTAGATGTACGCCTGCTGAAGACACAGATGTCCATCCCCGTGAAAACTGGGGCCGTAACTCAATGGTAAAGTAAATCATTCTTATTTCTTATTTCAACGGTTGTGTATATTAGCTGCAACTTATGAATTAATATACTATGACCGAAAAAATTTGATTGCCAGATGACTTTTGATATATGATTGGCCGAATTTGGGTGTTCAAGCTGACGTATAACTAACTGACCTGCATAAGATAACAAACAAAAAAATTTTAAGACAGGATTCTTTTAAAAATAGAAATTTTCTAACTTTTGGGACAATATCTTCTGATAAAGAGTACATTTCTGTACATGTTTAAGCCAGAATGATTTGACATATGAATATGGCTTCCCTACGGCTTTAAGATGTTTAGTTTTTTTCCCTCAAAATACGAATATGATTATAGCCCTTTAGAAATACTGCCTTCCTTTCTGTCCACCAGTTCAGTAAAAAGGATATAACTCATCAGTACTGTCTAAATTGTTTATTAAATTGCAACAGAAATAGATATGAACATAAATAGCTGACTAGTAAGGCTTTGTTTTTGTTATTGCCCTGACATTTTCACAAAATAAATGTGAAAAATAGCACAGATCACTCATCTGACACTCCCTGGCATTGCTCAGCCCTATATGCCCATCCCTGCATTCATAATGGCATCAGACAACTTGTTTCTTTAAGGGTCTGATTTTCAAATGGTGACAGAGTGACAGAAACACAGGGAAAGAGTTATGTTTGCTGGGCAGATGCCAGGAATGAGGATTGGGTTTTGCAACTAGAGAGCCAGAAAAGCTGTTCAAGAATGCAAGGTTCTCTCATTTGTATTTAAAGATAGTGGCAACACATGGTGTATGTTTGCCTACAGCTTCTAATTTCAGATATCTTTAGCTGGGGCCATCTAAATGGTCAAGGTTTTGTTCTTATTTTATGGACAGGTGTTGGAACAAGGAAGACTTTGCTTTGTAATAACCAAGCTCAGACGAGATAAAGGAAAACTGCCATGGTGCCGCACAAAAGTTATGCCGGTTATCTTCTTTCTGTCGACAAAAAAGAAAGAGTATCCTCTGTTCCTTTTCATATCTTCTTCTCTAATACATTGTATCAATCTTAGGTATTTCCGAGAATGTAAACAAATGACAGAAGGTCACATAGCTGGGGCTCAGTATGTGATGGGAAAAAGGATATTAATGTTCACCTGTAAGATTGTGCGTATTTTTTTCTCTCTCCCTTTTACTCTTTCTGTTTGTGATAGATGGACTTGAATATCTGTTACTGCTTAATAGGATATTGGAGAGCTGGCTCTCTGCAACGGCCTGACATTACTCTACTTGTAAAGTCCTTATTTACTACTCTGCCCTGTATTATAAGATATGCTTATTTATGATCTGATGTTTGTCACAGTTCTTACACAAGCATATATACATATGTCTTATACATACCGGTACATAAACATATATATAAATGCATATATATATCTATATATAGATATCTAGATATCTATCTACTAGGAAATGAAAAACTGCAACAGTGTTATTGCACAACCGTATGGTATGGACTTTTAAACCAACCCCTTGTTAAAGGGGTCATAGAAAGCAAAACCGAGTTTACCTTGTCATAGATGAATAACGATAGTTCTGTGGGTGAAATGGATATTGAGAGAAGTTCAAACCCCACAGCATGGGGCCATCTATGTCAAGGCTACCGTCACAGGGTTGGGTTCGGTCGCTCCATCCCCCTATGGCTCCCTACCCCTGTCCGCTGGAGTTCCCGGACCAGTCCCCGAGTTCGCTTTGTGTTTCAACTATGTGCTGTACTGTAGTCGACCAAAACCCCGGACGATTTTGAAATTCCCCCGGGCATTTTTTTAGGTATGAAAAGTAGAAAATGTGCGGGAAAAGGAGGACATATGGTCACCCTACCATATGAACAATTTCAATGTTTCAGTAAGTGAGTGCTTGTTGCTATGATGCGTCTTTGCTCAGCAGCTTTGCTCGTTGTAAACCAACCAATCAGCACACAGCTTACCTAAATATTCATGAGCATACCATAAAAGGAAGAAAACCTGTCGTTTAATTCTAGGGCTTTAAACCAGGCTTGAATTAGGCTTCATAGAACAGCAAATATGCCATTTTCATCCCAA